AAAAGCACTCAGATATTGTGCGTTAGATGCTTCCCATGTATGGTTAGTACTTTTTTATTCATAAAAGGAACGCAAAAAATAAAAGCGCCAATTTAACATTTGTCGGTACTGCAAATCGTCTTAAAATGTTGTATATATGGGTATTGACTCTCTAAGTTACGGTTGCTGCACATGGTAAGACAAAAAAAGAATTTCCGAGAAAAATGTGTGCGCAACGTGTATCAACTTGAAACGACCTTCACCCAGATTACGATAATAGAATCGCTTTTGAACTATAACAATCGTTCACTTTTTACGTTGTTCAGGCCTAATTGGACTAGATTACCTCAAAGAATTGTTCCTAATCTTATATATATTTGTTTATAAGAAGTAATTTATTCAAAATGTTTATTCAAAACAATCTTTGTACGAACAGAAATAAGCAGGTGACCTAAAAAGTCAAGTAGTTTATCAAAGACTCAACGCTTTCAGATGTTAGTTCAGTAACTGATTTTACGCGGTGTGCAACGGTGAAAGACGGGGGTTCAATTTCTAGCATGATTATTTTAAATGCGTTACAATAACAGATAATTATCTGGATAAGATCATAACATTGATCTAGTAGCTATTGCCCTATTTTGTTGTTTGTTTAAATATATATATATATATATATCAACTGCGTGCTTGTGAAGTCTGAAATCTTTCTTTTTGTGGTTTGTGAATAAGGATCAGTAGACCATAGAAAGAGAGTTTGATAGAGATCGATTCAAGGACGGCTTCCATCTGTCTTTTTATTACACAACAAAAAACGCTTTAATATATTGACTATAGAAGTTAGTGGTAAAAAATGGAAAATATTCATAGAATGCCAGTAAACTCGCTGAAAATATACATGGATACTGTTGCCGTTTGAATTCACGGAACAGTAGCGATTCAATATTTAACTATGGGCAAATTAGACAATTGGAGTCCTCTGAACAGGTCCCGGTAGATGATTGTTATAAATCCATCAATAAAATCATCGATTGCCGGCTTGTTCAATATGCTAAGTTTTGGGTATAAAACCCTCATTAAGAAGTTTACTATAGCAGGATCAATGCAGCTCGATGTTTTCCTCTAAATTGACTAATTTTCATTTTGACAGTTGTAAAAATACAATCACAATTTGCGGCAAAAGTATGGCGATTAATGTCCAGGATTGATATCGGTTATTGTGTTTTATCTTTTGATTCTTGGAATCGGAATTTGGGCAGCGTGGAGTAAAGAAAGAAGGGAGCAGGACAAAAAACAGAAACAATAATGGTTGCTGGAAGGGATATTGGTGTATTTTGTAGGAAGTTTCACCATGACAGGTACACATTTGAAAATTTCAATTGTGAAATATTATTTAGTAAAAGTTATCGCTGCAACCCCTCACAGCAACGCAATTAATTACATCCTATATTCACTTGATTGTATTTGCTTGTGCACGAGTGACATGCACTACAATCGACATATTCGTGTGCCCATTAAAATTGTGTATCAACAAAAACAATCTTAGACGCTAGCGTAAAATGCAAAATGCAATTTCAAACACTCAGGCGTCTTACATGGTGCGATGATATCGTTATGTGAAACAAGCATTGCTGGACTCCCCGCTGTGCGTTAGGTGCTCTCCGCCTGGTTCCGTGCATGGTATAGCGTATTTACTTTATTCCTTATGATTCTTAATTATATTAGCATATAGTTGCATAAATACTGTTTTGCCGTTCGCGTGCCTATCTAGTTCCTCGCGAACGTTTCTTATTTTTGAAATAAAACTCATTCTAACATTGATTATTCTGACTTCCAAGTATTTTCAATTCCCGTTCCTAGTTTGGATTAATTAAAAACCGGTCCATTGGTCATGGTTCTTTATTGACTAGATCGTGAAATTTTACTTATTAGGAATCAATTCCGGCATCTCCCAATTTTCACCTTAAATTTAATCTATTAATAATTTATATCACAACTCAATGATTCATTTGGGAGGTAAATGTTAAATAGAAATATACAACATCTTATAATTACTTCTTGAATAAATAGAAACAGGTGTGTATTATTTAGTAAATTTAAAACATTTAAATGTGTTAATAATGTAGTATTATGATATTGTGTAAATATTATTAATTTTTGTCTTTTCAGCCACTTGGGTCGGAGGTGGATACATAAATGGTACCGCTGAATCAGTTTATACATCTTCGTACGGATTATTGTGGACACAAGCACCTGTTGGATATACAATTGCGCTTGTACTTTCAGGACTGTTTTTTGCGAAAAGGATGAGAGAACAAGTAAACGATTATTTCTAAAATTAATCGATGTTGATACAACGATGACATACAATATGTCGGGTACACTTTAATCGTGATTCTATTTTTGTTGTCGACAGGGATATGTCACGATGATTGACCCATTGCAGAAAAACTTGGTCGACGAATGGGTGGTCTTCTATTTTTGCCTGCATTGATGGGTGAACTACTATGGTCAGCATCGATTTTATCCAGCGTTAGTGTAAGAAATTATTGCCTTGATATTTCATTCTATTCTGTTTCTCAAGTGACTGGCCACTATATAATATGACTTGTTTCCCTCCTCATAGTTCCAGTTTGTGACTAATGAAATGCTAACAAAGTTTGTGGTTTCAGCACACACTCTTAGCAGTCATTATCAAATTGGATGTTAACGTCTCTGTATGTGTTCTGCCGCCATTGCAGTTTTGTAACATTGTTGGTGGTTTATACTCGGTCGTCGCATATACTGCATGTCATACAATTAATTTGCATATTTTAGGATTGGTAAGTTTTAATACAGATATTTTGCATGTTCCTTATGTCATTGCATTTTTATTTCTTCTAAAATAAATTGAGAGTTTTTCTTCATCTCGCATCATAACAAAGATTGCTATTTTCTTTGAATTGTTCTGACAAATTTTAACGAAAATACATCGAGAATACATCAAACACCTAATTTGCTCCATAGGCACTAGCATACGAGCAAAGAGCCAAATAATTAAACCTGAGCCTAATATTAATATAAAAATCTATTAAAACAAATTTACAATCAAACAAACTCACGACAGTGATCATCATTGGCCAAATTGAAAACATTTACACCTTCTGGTAACCACTGAAACGATATTCTTTAAATGAATACATCTAACAGGGAAATGACATCTTGTTCAATTACACAATTTCATTTATGAAGCAATGTTCTATGACTTGCAAAACACGATAAGTTACTCATGTGTACATTGAAGTGTAAAAATCAGCCCCTGAATCGTGTGATTATAGCAACAATTTTCCAACAAATGTCTCGTGCTATGCAATGTTATGACTCTGTGATAGTTGTAAATTGTAATTCGTCCACTCTATATAACTTTAAGTCTTAGGCTAAGCAGTTTGATCGAATAAATGACTTATGTCAACGAATGAGCGAAGCATGTAAGCGATATTTTTATCCGGCGGATACTTTGAAGGTGGTGGTGAAGGTGAAGCAGTGGTTCTCAACCGGGGGTCCGCGAAGCATTTCCAGTGGGTCCGCGATTAAATTAAGATTTTAGAAAATTATTTGCAGTTTAATATAGTTTTTTTTTGTAATACGCTCGAACATTTGCTGCCTATGACAATAGCCTACAAAAACTATTTCAATTTATCTCCCGTATACCTATTGTGACAAATACTAGTTATTACAGCACAATGATAAATACGAGAACGCAGCTACAGTGATCACTTTCTCCGTTTTGGTGCGCCATTTTGCCGTCGTACCCATTAGTATCGATGGAAGCATTACGTGTTATTGCTCCATTCTCCTCCCCTTCTTACCTTTGTGAAAGTGGATTTTTTGCTCTCGTTCATATCAAATACAAGGCTCGTCACCAACCAAACGTCGAAGACAATTATGTGTTATTGTTCCATTCGCCTCCACTTACTTGCCTTTGTGAAGTGGATTTTCTGCTCTCGTTCATATCAAGGCTCGTCACCAACCAAACGTCGAAAACGATTACGAGTTATTGTTCCATTCGCCTCCACTTACTTGCCTTTGTGAAGTGGATTTTCTGCTCTCGTTCATATCAAGGCTCGTCACAACCAAACGTCGAAAACGATTACGAGTTATTGTTCCATTCGCCTCCACTTACGTTCGTGAAAGTGGATTTTCTGCTCTAGTCATATCAAATCCAGGCTCGTCACCACCAAACGTCGAAGAAGATTACGTGTTATTGTTCCATTCCTCCACTTACCTTTGTGAAAGTGGATTTCTGCTTTCTTCATATCAAATCCTAGGCTCGTCACCAACCAAACGTCGAAGACGATTACGTGTATTGTTCCTTTCGCCTCACTTACCTTTGTGAAAGTGGATTTTCTTCTCTCGTTCATATCAAATCCGAGGCTCGTCACCAACCAAACGTCGAAGACGATTACGTGCTATTGTTCCGCCTCAAGTTAGTTACCTTTGTGAAAGTGGATTTTCTGTCTCGTTCATCAAATCCAAGGCTCGTCACCAACTAAACGTCGAAGGCCATATGCGTATCATTATCAAAAACACGACCACGTATTTCTAGACTTGCTTCAGATATGCAACAGCAGAAATCTCATTGCGTGTATTCGATTTGACAAAATAAATGGAAATGTCCACTAGTTTGGTGTTATTTTTGACTTTGTTAAATCTGTATGGAACATTAGGTTGCTGTTTAAGCTATAAACTAATATTCAAATAAAAAACTTTTGAGGGGTCCGCGACCGCTTTGAGAGCACCAAAAGGGTCCGCAAAGACAAAAAGGTTGAGAAACACTGGTATATAGGTTTTCTTGACTATGACGACATGAGATGAAAAAAAATTGACTGTCTGACGGCTCAAATCAACAGCATTGGTCAGTACTTTTAGACCATGGTGAGTGAAATTCACATAAGCTAAATGAGTACAATTTACTCAATTACAAATATAAAAATGGACAATGATTATCACATAATTGTCTTTTAACAAGATTTGTATTTATTTTCAAGTGGTTAAGTATTCCATTCGCAATGACAAACGATGCTGTAACAAGCATTTCTGAAACAGCATACAGTGGACCTGGTGGATGGCTCGGAGAATGGGATTCTGACTATACTGGAGAATGGATTGATTTTGCGCTTTTGTTGGTAAGATTGATAATAGAATAAATTTAATTCACTCGATGACTAATATTCTAATCCAGCGGTTCCCAAACTATGGGTCGCGACCCACTGGTGGGTCGCAAAAGATATCTTAGTGGGTCGTGAAAAGATATGGAAAGCTTCGATTAATTATACTGTTTATTAGGATCGGTGGCGACTCGAATGCGTAAATATTCAAAAAACAAAAGAAATTAAATTGAATTTAAATTCTAATCTGTGAAAGTTTCCTTTTTACGATCTTCTCGAAGGAACAAAAATTTGCTACGCGAAGAATGACCATGTGGCTTTTTACGCATAGCAGTTCTGTACACTGTACAGCAACTTCTTACCGTGTTTCCCCGAAGTTTAGATTTATTTTCTTTTGTAGAATAATACTATGGTTTTTTTTTTTGGAAGAGATCTTTTTTGTTCATTTATCAAAAATAAAATTACATTGTAGAAAATCACGAGATTTTTTAATAAACATTATATAAAAACCGACATCTATTGTTTTTATTCGTATTTCCTATACAAAATTCAAGTAACAAATATCATAATTGTGATTGTGACAGCACACAATCTTAAATAGTGGTGTGATCTTCACCTTACTTACCTCAGATCATTGAACCTTTCCTCTCCCACACATTTTAAATTTATTTTAAGGGTAGGGTTTAAATAAACTCATTTTTAAAATTCAAATTACGGTAGGTCTTAATTTTAGGCCAGGTCTTATTTTCGAAGAAACACGGTAGTTTTGCGATGATTAGCCATTGCTGTGTTATGTGTTATGTCATAAAAAGTTAAATGGGTCGCCATAAGCTGTGGTAAAAAATAGTGGGTCCCAACTCTAAAAAGTTTGAGAACCACTGCTAATCCGTTGTTCCATTCATACCAACTTAACAGAAATTATTTGTTTAGCCTCGGAGCCCAATTCAAAAAGTCCAATTATAAATTTTTCTGTCTATTGGGTTTCTGCGGAGAAAAAAAGTTATCCTTCTTCTATGCTTTTGATGTGATTGCATTTGTTTGTGAGCAGCGTTCAACAATTGTGTTTAAAAATTTTTGCAAACCAATCGTCAATGGTTATCATTTGACATAATATGTATATATGAACAAGTATATAAATCTCTTCCAGATGTTCGGAGGAATACCGTGGCAAGTATATTACCAACGTGTATTATCGTCAGATTCAGCAAAACATGCTCAAATATTGTCTTTCGTTGCTGCGTTCGGATGTCTTGTTATGGCCATTCCATCTGTACTTATCGGTGCAATAGGAGTTTCAACTAGTGAGTAGAAAGGGTTAATTTTTTTACGTAATATACCTCAACGATTAATCAATCATACCTATGCATTACAAGAAACATTACTTGGCCAAAACTCAAGTTAAAGTTTCATGGTCGATTTTTTTTTCTAAATTTTTGAGATCATGCTTATGTCGATGCTCTAATAAAAGTCGTACAAACATAAGGAATACATTGAAATTCTACTGTATTCAACTTTGAAACTGCACACCATTGTAAAATGGTAAGAATGTTGAAAGCTCTCACTGCGGTATTCTTTGTTCAGAGTAAATAAACCGGTCCACTTTTACAATGTGGCTTTGAAAATAAACCGGTCCACTTTTACAATGCGGCTTTGAAAATGATCATTAAACGCATATGGTTGCGTATTGTCGGAATGTACAAATAAAAAAATTACACAAAGTAAAGTGACAGTGATGAATGCAACGGGCCCGCTCGACACATTATATATAACAGTAAACATAAGGAAAACAGTAATTTTAATGGTATGAGTAGGTAAACGGGCCATTTTTCTTCGATTGCAAACATTGTGATTTGCAAACATTGTGACAACACTGCACTGCGTTTAATTCTGTGACGTCAGTAGTACCCCCGTGCTTCAATAAAAATTATGCACACGCTTATGTGAATAAGTATGTTACAGAAATATTATCCGCAAAATATCCTTGTTTACAATGAAGTAAAACCGATGAATCAGCGGATATAATAAATAAATTTAATTGTTTTCGAACGGTATGGTATTCACAGATCACATTCACAAGTAAAAAATTATGATTTTTAAACTTTGAATGCTTTATTCAATAACTCAAATCTGCACCCCTCCTCCATGACGTCACATTAAATACCAGTTGGACAACTTGTTCAATGAACTATAATATGAAATTTGAACACTTTAGATTGGACTATGACGAAATATTTTGATGGAAATGGAACAACGCCAGCCGATATAGATGAAGAGCGAATGATATTGCCCATAGTTCTTCAATATTTAACACCAACAGCAGTTTCATTCATTGGATTGGGAGCAGTGTCTGCTGCAGTGATGTCATCTGCTGATTCCAGTGTCTTGTCTTCGTCGTCAATGTTCACAAGAAACATTTACAAACATGTTTTCAGACAAAATGTGAGGTCAAATAGTTGGAAAGTTTTATCCACGTTCAAATAAATAAGTTATCCTTATTATTTCCTATAATTTGTTATTAATATTTGTTAACAATATTTTTCCAGGCATCGGAGACAGAATTGATTTGGGTCATGCGAGCTACCATATTTGTGAATGCCGCCATATCGACAATACTCGCATTAACAATCAAATCCGTCTACGATCTATTCGTTCTCTGCTCGGATTTCATTTACGTCATTCTATTTCCTCAAGTAAGTATTTTTGAAAATTAAACCACTGAATGGCATTTTATGCGACGTTTTATCCTCTTTTCACTGCCATCTAGAGTTAGATTATGTACAAACATCTGTAGTCTACAACTGCTAGCCAGAAGCTTAAGTCATTTTACCAAATTATACAGACGTGCTTTTGTATTGTCGTTACTAACTATTCTACAAAGATTTGTTCAAAAATATTTGTTTTGAAACAAGGTTTTTCAATCAGTCTGTTTTGAATATGCGCCTTTTCTGCAGTAATAATATACTTCGCGATGTTCCGCGTGAGCTTACAGTGGATAGCGGGTTTCTATGGTTATTTTCAACGTCAGAAAATTATTTTTAATTATATTATTGAACACAAAGTGTGGATCGTTTTGTTATTATGGTGTTGTTGATGTTAGTATTTCGTGTTTTTTCTTATTAGTATGAAAATATTGCTTTCTCTTTGATTACTGAACCAATTGGAGATTGTATTTTTCACTAGAAGGCTCTTACTTTTATTTATCTTTACGATTATCAAATTGAAAATTGCGCACCTTGTGGCGGTTCCACTTTTGCGTTCATTGCTTTCTTGTGATCAGGCGAAGTCATGAAGTACCAGTTGTTTACTGTGACAGATTACGTAACCATACTACTTTGTATTTGATCTTCGTGTCCATTTGTGCACTGCTCAAAAGTGAATAAATATATACAAAACAACACTATATAGCATATAGTAAAAAGAAGATAACAATTTCTGATATTAGGATGCTTATTAAAAAAGAAACATGGATCATATTTGACTTTGCTTCTTACAAACAGTTTATTCTTCTTATTGTTCAACGAAATAAGATTTGACTATTGCAAATTGACCAAAAATTTACTGAACAGAAAATATCGAAACTTTTAGAAAGGTCCTCGAATTACTAGGTATAGTTTCCCAAACAATTTGCATTCAGTTATATCAGTTTTTAATTTGATTCGTGATAATTTATTTTCAGCTAGTAGCTGTTATGTATCTGGACCCGAACACGTACGGCTCGTTGTGTGGATTCATTATTGGCTTCATTTTGAGACTAGGAGGAGGAGAACAAGCGTTCAGTTTGGACCCGTACATTTATTACCCAGGAGGAAAAAACTTTCCGTTTCGTACATTTTCCATGTGCATGACTTTCATTACAACATTACTTGTTTCGTATGGTATCCGACAACTCTTCCGCTCCGGATATCTGAAGGCAAAACACGACATATTTGATTGTAAATTGGCCTATGGCGGTCGCACCATAGACAACACTGTAATGAAAGATGTCACCGGATCTAATGGAGATGGACGGAAAAAGCAAAGTCTTCCTGAAGATTCTTCCGGGATGCAAAATACGGGATTTGAAGAGGAAACAAAAATTTGAACGTCATGTCACCATATATACAACGCATTTGCAAATTTAATTTCCATTTTATTGCATTACGAGAAGAACAATGTCAATTAATATCTATCGAAATTCAAATACGTACAGGCTATAAAGTCTTTATTCACACGAACAAATTTATAAATAATTATTCCTGCATAGTCAAAAAATTTACAGTATGTCAAAGAAAATAATCTTTGCCCAATCAACATTTTCTAAAAACGAATCTAAATGAAAGTCTACTACAAAACTACGCCTATATTTAAACAATTTCTGATACCCTTTCACTGATTTGTTAGCTTGTGACTAATCCCAATTTACCTTAATCGAAATCAAACATGTATCCAAGAAATCGCATTCCCTTCGATCGCTCCCAATTTGACCTACTGTATGATACAGACTGTACTGGTAAATAGATTAGTCTTTGTCAAAGCATTTGATTGCCATATTATTGAAAACAACCTTTTCAAAATGGCTCCATAAAGCTGCAATACAATTTTTGTAAGTATGCAGTTCTAATACATTTTTGTAAGCATGACCTAAAGTTTTCCTCACTGTTTTAGTAATTTGCCGTAGAATTTGATCTATTGTTTTGCAAATGACAGCTTTCAGTTTATCCATGGTTGGACTGAACGTCATAGAAAATAACCACAAGGTGAAAGGTCAAGCAAACTGGCCCTATTATATCGCCATGTAAATAAATCAGATGAGTTGTAAAGGGTCCCCAAAAATGTCTATTGTTTTTTTGCTGCATATGCAGTTGCTCAACCTTGTTGAAACTATGACGTTGTATTTTCTCTATGACTCTTGAGTTTTGGAATCAAACAGCATCTGCGCTATAAAACTACTATAAAAAAAAACTTCAAAATTCGCAACTGCACCACACTGTTACTATAAGCTCGCATTGAAGAGGCCTTTCATGTAGCATCTTAGGGTCACTTTCTGTCAAGTATCGAATAGTGTGACAAATGTAATGACAAAACCAAATACATGAAAGTGAGCTTCGACACTGGCAATCAGAATCGGAATATCATTAGCAAAAACATTTTTAGCTTAGTTCAGATCTCTGTTTAGTGAGAAAACAATTCATAATAAATGCAATGATTTTCATGAAATTTATAATAAAAAATTGTCTATTGAAATCTCTAGAAAACTAAAGACATAATGGAAATTACTTAACAATATAAATCTACTCAAATTACGCAAATAACTGCCACAGCATTTTCATAGTAAGAATTTAAAAACGGGAATTTTTTTGTCTCATTCTGTATAACGATTACGAACATATCAGCCTTATATTTCCACAAACAATAATCACTTTTTTCGTTGACATTCGTGATTATATGTAAAAGAACTTTCCAGTGAGCGAATCTAATATATATATCTAAATATTGCAATGGAGTCAATGGCAAGCAAATAGTTTCCTCCTTCAACCAATAAGCAAGTTCAATGCACAATCAAGTCACAATGTGCCATAGTCGAACTCATATAAACAGTCGAAATATTCAAATAAATCGTCTTGAGTTGTGACGATTAAATAGTATTGACCATATTTCATTGTCCATCATTTATTTATCAGGTTAAAAGATTGCACGGTTGATGCCATTGCTGTAATCGTCTCAGATGACAGGGTGTGAGTGTCCATGGGTACATATAGAGCTGAGGCAATAAGCGGCAGCAACGCCCTGAAGCTTTCGTAAAATCAGACGTTTCAAATTATGTATTTCTCATTACATGTCTTTAATAACGACACTTTCAGTATTGCTGTCTTACATTCGGCAACTTAAAAACGACCGTCATTTGATGAAATGTTGTCACTTGTCAGTCTAACTTTTCTGCACAAATTTCGATTCACCAGGTGTTGATAACAAAAGTGTTTTAAGTTCTCTTTACAGTCACCGACACACCGTCATTAGTTGATGTAAAATGTGAAGTGTGACAAACCGAACCCAAGTACTGAACGATGAGTGTCAATCCAGCTTGTTGTCTATGTACTATATTTGCTAAGCAAAGTTGCCTGTTGTTATTGCTGTAGTATTTGTCTGTTCCAATAAGATTATAAACCTCCATTGGTGGAAAATCATTCCAATTTATTATTCCTTCCAAGATTTTGTTTGCTATTTCATAAAGTGTTTCCTCCTGGTAAGGTGGATCAAATCTTTCTTCAACTTCATGACTAGTATACCGTAGAGCAGACAATAAAATTTTTACTTCGCGACTCATCGAATATTTTGCATAACGGCATGCCGTTCCAGTTAATACAGAAAACACCGCGTCCTTCCACGATAAAGCGCCTTCGTCCTTCCGACTCAGATACAATTGGGTATACTAAATTGACGAATAAAAGTGGGACTTCCCCGTATGAGATACGCCAGTTCGAATACAGGTGGTAGATCACATGTTATGGCATCGCTTTTCGTCGCCGCTTACATTCTCTGTTTGAAATTCTATCAAAGGTCACTGTTAGCAAGATTTGGTTGAAATAAATAACACTAACAGTCATCACTGAATTTCATCCACACTAATTATTCTCGGGCGCTTTTTTTGACGACTCTAGTAATCTGGAACAAGTCGGATGACACCAACAAATGCTATGTGATAAGAATGCGCTATTCAGGCAAGCAAACTGCTTCGCATTTCAGATTATATTACGGATTAGATTAAATTACGGTATGTAACTTCTGCTGTCTTTGCTTTCTAATTGAGCGAATTAGATAAGTATCTGACTCCAAAAACGGAATATATAGTAGGTTACGTGTTCAAATTGAGATATCTGTTAATTTTATATAACAGTAAGGATCTGACCAATTTGCCTGTAAAGATTTTTATTTCCACGGATAATATATCACAATAAATTTACTTACAATAAAACACACTCACAATCGTGAAAACCAAGTCGGTGATGAATTAGCATTGTTGTATAGAACGAATTGAAATAGAAAAGCCAATAAAACACACTCACAATCGTGAAAACCAAGTCGGTGATGAATTAGCATTGCTGTATAGAACGAATTGAAATAGAAAAGCCAATAAAACACACTCACAATCGTGAAAACCAAGTCGGTGATGAATTAGCATTGCTGTATAGAACGAATTGAAATAGAAAAGCCAATAAAACACACTCACAATCGTGAAAACCAAGTCGGTGATGAATTAGCATTGCTGTATAGAACGAATTGAAATAGAAAAGCCCCGAAAACCACGATCAAATGTCTATTAAACGGTAACATCTTTTTCATCTCGCTCGCCAAAAACGGTACCTTTCTTTATTATCCAAAAATCTCGTTTCCCACGGAGCAATTTTTGCTCATATCTAGAATGTTCGGTACCCTTCTTACAATAATTACACTTGTTTATAGGTTACCTGACATGGGAAATATCCATTTTCTCATACACGAGAAAGATCTAGACTCAATATTTCGAATGATCTAGAAAGATCTCTTCAATATTTCGGTTGTTTATGGGTCACCCGACATGGGAAAATATCCATTTTCTCATACACGAGAAAGACTAGAAAGATCTCTTCAATATTTTGATTACGTCAATTATAATATACAATTTGACTTCCATTATCCAAATTATTGGTTAATTTGTTACAGGTACAGCAACTATGGCTGGTCGCTTGCTGAGTCGTCACATGCAAGGTTTGCTGTTGAAAGAAAGAATCTTACTAGCAATGGAGTACAAATATTTGATATTCTGTTATTTCATGAGAATTTGTTCAAGACACGGAAAGAGATTGTTTTCAGATTTGAATGATTTTGCTAGCCATGCCCCGTTATTGCGCTTGTTGGACTGCAAATAAACCAACGAATCGTTTTGCTAGATTGATGTTCTTGTTGGCATGGTTGTTGGTTGTAAAAAATCTCTTTTCTCCGCAACAAAAGGACTGTTGGTACTCGTGTCTCAAAGCAATCCTCAACAAGGCTCAGTTGAAAACACGAACTTTCAGTTAATAGACCAGTGTTTCCCAACCCGAGTCCGCGGTCTCAAATGAGTCCGCGGAGCGTTTGAATGAGTCCGCGACGAGCCAGAAATTCACTGCGGGCCGCAAAGGTTTTTGCAAAACTTAACTATCCGCCAAGTTACGATTTACGTTAAAGTTTACATAAAACATAACAAGAAAGTTTTTTCACATAACATTCATCGAGTCAATAATTACTGGTTACTGAGTAGGGCTAGGCTTATATTCAAATATTCAACAATTAGAATAGCAATTTACTATTCGAAAATTTGGTAACAAGTAACGTGAGAGGTCACTTGCGCGTCGCTTTAATCAAACGATTGGATTTCACAACTCACTTGCGGATTCCCGACAAAAACACGAGTCTGCACTATAGAGGTTGGATCGGGCCCAAAAAGTCCAGTCCGACCCAGGCCCGTTGGCATTAAACCAGACTAATTAACTGGATTTGCAGGTCCGAGACAGGAGCAAACCCGAAATTTCCAATTTTTTTAGGAGTTCTTGAATTGTCATTGCAAGAATACAGTATGTAGTATGTTGATGAGGGTACTTCTGTGTTTTTTCACAGCCTACGGTCTCTCGTGACCGAAACACCTCATTTATAAAAAAATAAAAAAAAAGCAATAGAGAAGCCCTACCCGAACGTAATGATTCAAATTTCAGTCCCATCCCGGCCGGAATTTTGGGTAGCTTTTTTAGACATTGCAAATCGCAAAATTTCGGGTGCTACCAGTGCATTTCCCTCTAAGATTCTTTGCTTTACTGCCTTCACATTGGTACATACACTTCTGGAGCGCCGCAAATATTGTACAAACAGCTCAGATTTGTCGAAATCACAAAAATACGAATCAAAACAGAATATAATCGGGCACTTTACCAAGCATTTTGTGTCCACGGGATTGTCATGATATTTAGTAGTAATAGTTATAGTAATAGTAATAGTTTAGAGTAGTAATAATTTTATTTCGTCAACACAACCGCATATTAAAATGCGACGCACATCACAATTGAATTAATAACAAAGCATGGCGATGAATACGTATTTTTGATTTACTAATATACTTTAAATATATTTTTTTAATAAGTACTAAATCAAGTTGTACGTTCTAAAAATTTATAGGATATATATAGTAGGATTTTCTACGGGCGATAACAAATTCGCAAGATCGCAAAAAATATGTATCAAAACTAAATGTAATCGGGCAATATATTCTTGCATCATCATGTTTGCATATTGTCGTGGCATTTTAGAGAAGTAATGCTTTCATCTAGTCGTAATTAGACCGCGAGTTACCGTAAACACAATTAAATTAAAATAGCAAGACATTGTAAATTCTTGTCGTTGTCATGGATTGAATATTGCGCAACAGAAAAGGTCTTTACCAGGCTTGTCCATGGGACATATTTTTCTGTCCCATTCCCATCCCATAGCAATTATGCCTGTCCCATCTCATTGGGAAGAAATTAAATAAAAATTGTTAAATTTAGGTTTAGGGTTTATTAAATAGGACTACATCGCGGTAATTAAACCTCTAAAAACTAACCACAAACCCTACGACTAGAAAACAGCACCCAACTGCAAACCAAACAAACACAACGCATTTGACTCAAATTTTGAGCAGTACGTCTGACTCCACAAACAATTGCTATGTCAGTATTTCGCAATAATGCTGGGTCAATTGTTTCCACTACGCCCGTATAAGAATGTCTCTCATCAGTCTATATAATATATCTCCAACAAAATGATTCTCGCTAAGAACGTGACTACTCCACTACTGGCTCATAGCTAACCGGTCATGCCTAGTCAGTGCTAATTCTATACTTCAGAATCCGGATAATCATATAGTTAGCACATCGGGTAAAAAAAATAGTTTTGGCCAATCAAACATCAATCAGTACGTCTAAAATGGAAGAAAACTAGAAAATCACAAATTATTCAAATTTCGGCTCTGGTGATCACATTCCTTATAAGAGCTGTTATGCCACTTTTTATTTTCGCGCGTAGGATGGGTTTGAATGACTAAGGTCTATTAGAGTTTAACCCGGCAATCCCTATTCAGTTAGGTCAGAGCTAAACCCAGTAGTCAAAAAATAAATAACAAAATCGCTAATCTTTTAATTGTTTTATTGTAAGACGAGTAGACGACAAACAGAATTGAATATAGGGATCAACGAAGGTGGTCGACGATCGACGATTTTCTTTAATTTCAGTGACATGTAGAAAAATTTATATCACAAAAATGTTATTGATAGGCTACTATAGATATAAATAACATTGTAGTGTGAAAGTGTGGCAAATTCTAAATTTCGCAATACGTGAAAAATTTCGTCGGTTTCTATGCGATGAAACATGACCTACAAGCAATAGCCTCATTTGTCCAGCGTGAAACAGGAAATGTTGAATCACTTGTTCTTTTTAGAAGATTCAGTTCACATATTTTTGTCTAGCTTGGGCTGCAAAAACAACTAAGCTAGAGATATTACACCTTTTTCGGTGCAGAAAAATCTCTCCAAGTTTTCCTGAACGAAAATATCTACCTACATACTTTTAAAACGGGAGCCAACCATTTCACACGGTAATTATTAGTAAGTTTGTACAAATAAAGGTATCGGAGCCGGAAGTGAAAACCCTTTATGGTATTTGTAGTAGAGACTTGGTTTTGATCTTTGTAGAGTCATGGGAGAGTTTCCAGATAGCGAATGGTTAAAATTAATTTTCAATAGAAACATGCAGTGTTTAGTGCAAGGGTCTCCAACTCAAGATATGTCGCGGGCCACTTTTTGAAATTTATTGACGACTCATGCCACAAACCAACAAATTAGGTACAAAATTGACGTACAAAAATTAACAAAGAAAAAAAATTGGTTCGTTTAGTGGTTGTGAAAAACCCTGGTTTAGTGTATGTAAACTGTCGTCAAGATATTACTATGAAGTGAAGTTCTGTTTCAGACAGCTTAATTTCTGTTGCGTAGATTTGCTGACAATCAAGTGTTGTCAAATAATATATTTCACTAGCATTCTCCCATTATCTGACTCAGCACGACGCCGCTATTCGGAAACGTAGATTCAGAATAATTTGCTACTGGGGATCAAAAATCTAGAATTATAGATTCCAAATTATCATCTAATTCTAATCCATACTCATATTGTGAACTGGCATGTTATGGAATGTTGACTTCCTATTACGCCCTACCTGAGACCAGCGCGTTAAAATTTGATGAATAAAATGCTTGCTTACCGCATTGTGTCAGTCAGTGGTATCTATGGTGAAGACATATATATGGATATAAATTCAGAAGATTATTCTGCGACTGAGCATAAAACAATAGAAATCTCAGCCATTTTGAGATCTGTTGGCTTGTTAGATAGATTTTTTACCGCTGTTCACTTATTGTTGTGACCATTGCAGATGAAAAATAGTTAACTAGGCCTACGTGATGTTACGTTTTATTATCGCGCAATAAACCGCAGATTGATTTCTCGTTCTTTCGCGAGAAATTCCAGACTCAGCAGAACCTTTCTATAGCTTGTTTACACTTATTTGCTAGTTGAGATTGGCAGGCAAAGATTGCTTCCCACGAGTTGAACAATTTCCGTGTTGTTGATAGTCTGTAAAGCGAACAAACGTGGTATGTCAATCTCCAATATTTTGGCGCGAAATTTCTATTATTGAAAATGAACGACGTTTGGCTTAAAGCTACAACTTTTTTAGTGTCAAACAGGTACGGTCAGTTTAGCTGGATCAAGATAGGTTTTTAAAATTCGAATATTTTTTCTAGCATATTAATTGTTACCTAGGGTCAATAGTTTGACGTTAGTCAAAAATGGAAAACGAAAAATATTGGATACATGTAGATCAACTGCGTTACACTCAGAATACAATTAATGACCAATTCAAACATTCTGGAGCAAAACTTGACGACGTGGTTCAGCAAATAAAGTGCAACCATATGTCTGTAAACGATCTCCCGCCCATGCAAGTTTACGAAAAGGATGGGAGGTAAGTTGATATCGGAGACAAATAGATGGAAGCTCTTTGTATTTCAGTTATAGTTTGCAATAACCTTTATTCCTGTATTTAGTAACCCTGAATAATAGCTCATTCGCTCAGAAATTACATGCATGACGAAGATAGTAACTTGCTGCATATTCTCTGTGCATACTCAAATAGGAAATTTCAAGTGCATGATTACTAAATAAAAAATTTTAAATTAATACAGCTAATTTAAGCAATATCCCAACTAAACAAAGGATTACGTAAATTATAACCCGGAAAATATCATCAGATTTAATCAAAATTTTTGCTTTAAAACAACTTAACGGTTCATAAGAGTTTTACACAAAATTACGGATTCCCTAAAATGATATTTTTCTCATTTTGAGCTCACTCTCAATATCTTGCAAAATCGATGCCTGTCGATCCTGAGTACCTTAAAATTTATTGTATTCAACTTCTGAGGATTTATAATACTATATATATAAATTAAACGGCGCTTCAGAAGTATGTGCACCAATATGGAGGTGACTAATTTTGTTCGCCTATGTTTTAGATCAAGTTGTGTAAAGACACGGAAGCCTATGGGCAGGGGGTATATTCACTTGGCTAACACAAACAGTCCCCGAACTCGTAATAGAACTAAAATAAAGAAAATCGGAATAAAATTATGGCCCAACCCTAATCTGGTACACAAACTACGGGAGTACCAATAAAACAACCGATTAAAAACTCGTAAAATTGTTTTCAGGTTTTACAGCTGCGGTAATAGAAGACTTTACGTGTGTAAATCCCTGAGAGCAGAGGGTCGCCTCAATACAGTGCGAGTGGAATACCTCGGGGAGCACAACCAACACTTAAGCAATTTTACCTCTAAAAACGATGGCCAATGCGTGACAGTCAGAAAGAAAATATAAGTTTATGATTTTGGAATGTAATAAGCTAAAATGGGAAATTCCATTGGCGGACTCTAAAGTGCCTGATTTTAGCCGTGATTTTTCGTTATTGTTGTTTTATAACTTTATTTTTAATAAAATTTCAAATAATAATTATGATGAGTTTGTTTATTCATTTAATCAACTAATAGCAAAGAAGTTAAACTCGCTTAGTCAATTAGATGAGAAAATAAATTAGAATGATTTCGATATATGCGTCTGTCATTCCCATTATAATTTTGGAGGTTGTTGATTTGACATATTTAAAATCCTTCCATGTCGCCTGACTGGTTGACCCAGTTTCCATTCGAATGTATGCCCGTCATTTTGTCGCATACTTTCAGTAATGGATGGAGTACCTGTTAATAAAATTGTCATACGTACATCCACGTCATAAATATCATATATATGCACAAATATTTATCGTCTGGCCTCGTATCCGGAAACATATATCTCTATTATGCTATATATACATATATACAGGGTAGATTTGTGAAGTAAGGCATAAAGCATAGTAGACCATACAGGTCCACAAACTTGCTTTGCGATGGAAAAATGAATTTCGAAAAATCAATTCAACGACTGTGTCTGTGTGTTTCACACTCTCAAAACAATTTCTAAAATATTCACTCTAAAATAGGGGAGTTTTCTTCAATTAACAGGGCCTCGTCAGATTCATTTTCTTCTGAATTTTCTTGAGATAGACCTTTATAAGAATAAACTGTCATCGAAGATAATAATAGTATTAAAAACAAATCAATGGAAAGCAAAATCGGTAACGTGTTATAGGTTAATAAAGATGCCGCCCATAACGGGCCCATAATTTGTCCAAGCCCCATACTAATTTGTCGTATGCCCTGAATAAACGCTTGGTTCGACATACTAGTCAACCGCGAGAGCAAAGATGCTTGTGGCACCCATACAAATGGTATGCTAACCGTCAGAACGACGGCGTTTATCAAAAAAATGGGTAACAACAATTTAAAGCTCTGTCTCAAGTTAACTCGTGATTGAAGCAACATCGCTCCAGTGAGCATCATTATATAACTTATGCTCATGCCGATACATCCAATAAGAAGAATTGCTCGGTCGGAAATTTTAAATCTGGCGCTTAAAAAACTTAGAATAAAAAAGCTGAAAATCATGACAAAGGCGGCTCCGCTGAACAAATAACTATTTTGCAAACCTGTCCACTGGAAGAAAAGTAAAGTTAAGGGTGCCGCAGAAGTTTCTAGGCCGATCTGTGTGAACATGGTCACAAAAGTCGCTGTAAAGCAGACTATCACTCCATCCTGTAATAATTCTTTGGCAACGGTTTTCATATTTGAGATATGATCCTGAACAAGAATTTCAGCTCCAGAAGTAGGTTCCTCACTGACAGATGTTTGTGTGAAGTCGTCATTGAAAAAGCACACTATAATACCAGAGTGAAAACACCATACCACTGTCCACTGCCATTAAAAGGCCAGGTGACGTGTATTGGTCGACTACGAAAGGCCCAAGCTTAGCATCCAGTTTATTAAGTAAAACACTGAAAATTGGACCTACCAGAAGTCCCAATTGACGTAAAGACATCAGTAATGAAAAAACCGAGGTTCTGTCTCTCGAAGTTGTTGATCGCGCTAACATACCGAATATTGACGATGTTGCACCAGATCCTATACCAGCTACGACTCTAGCGCTGAGTACCAAGTATTTGTTGTTGCTGCCAAAATATAGAAAATTTCCCGCTACTTCGAAAACATTCCCGACTAATATGCATAGTTTTCCTGACTTCTTCGTGTCAGTTATTCGTCCGTATATTGGAGCTGTAATTAGTCCTGTGAAGCTGAAAGAGGCGATGACAATGCCGAGAAATTCTTGGCTGGCGCCCAACTTTGACAGATATCCATTTAATGTCGGAATAATTACCGAATATTCCACACCAACAAAGAAAAAAAACAAACCAAGGGAAACATTTCTCTTGAGTACTGTTTTGTCCATTAATTTGTTTCTTGCCTGATTAATTATTAATTAGTATATTACTACAAAGAAAGTATTTATATATATATGAACATAAAAGCAGGCAGTGAATCTTATTATGCAAAACTCTAACGTTCAGAGCATATTCATCTTCCGATATGCCTTGTTTCTTGAAGTGCATCAGATTTACATATTTTGAAACTAATAATACTCATGAATGAAACTAGCTTCGGAATGTGCTACGGATAGTTGAGCTATGGGCTATTTTCCTATTTCAACAAAATTGTACAATTTTTACGAGGGTACATTTTATGATGTGTGACTGATTGTGTGCGGTGCACTAATCTAAACAAAACCTTATTTACTCCGCATTTAACACAAAAACTTGTTTCGTTGGTTGCGCCATAAAATATACAAAGCAAATGGAATTGTATTAAATAAGAAACCATTTGCGTAACAGACCATAACTACACACAATAAAGCAATTGTCAGCCGAATCGCTACATAGGTCCAGTAGATTTGTAAAGCCAAAAATATGTTGCATCTCTAACTCCATAGAACAGGGATGGCGAACCTTTTTTAGAAAATGGGTCAAAATTTATATTTTTACTGCGAAAAAGAAGACTGTGGGTCATAAATATAAAACCTTAGTTTGCATCAATGAGAACAGAGCTTCTTGTTACATTTTTCCGCAAGTTTTATAATTCTTGGTTGGTATAATTTAGTTTCGATCTTGTGTCGATTCGACGAATAAACACGGATTTGCATGCATACGAATTACCGATAAACGTTTATAATGGATACGGAAAATCTTTTCCGGGTTTGGGAAAAACTAATCTTGGAGAATCATAATTTTTGATCGCGTTTCAACCACATTAAAGTCTCTGCCTTTAATATTTCATATTTCCGAGGTCGTTGATTTAAGTCACCGAACATCATTGCATGCGGTAAAAAATAAAAAGCAAAGAAGCATCTAGTTCTCGTGTACATCCAAAACATTATACGGCTCCCCCGCGCCTATGCACTTGCAAAGGGGAACTTGTTTTGCAAGACAATTAACGTATCATTGGTATTGTTATGTCATAAACGTAACCAATGTTCCCTCTAATTTTTTGTAGTATGTGTGCGCAGAAATTTTAGCGTGTGCGCACTTTTTTGGAAATGACTGATATTTGTGCAAAAACCAATGAAGAAATTTCGGCGTTCTAACCGGGTAATAAGTGGGTCAACAACAAACTTTCTCAACCTGCCAACCGAGCACATTGTTACATTACATCGAAATACGTTTGTGCGCAGTAAATCTATTCGTGTGCGCACCCTCTGAAAGCTGTGTGCGCGCGCACGCGCACGCGCGCACACGCGCACACCTTAGAGGGAACACTGAACGTAACGTTGTAACAGCATTGTTACTAGTAGCTGCATATTACATATCCTTAGATTAAATTAAAGCTGATTTTATCGTCATTATTTATCACCCGAAATATTAGTATTTTTTAATTATTCCGTAGCGTGGCGGGATACCAAACAAACATAGCGGGTCACTTTGCTACCCGCGGTCAGTTGTTCGCCATCACTGCAACAGAACATGACAGATACAAATATCATTTCGTACACATGGCATCTTTGGGAACGAATTAAAATATATAACTATAACCAAACTTTTGATGCTCACTATAATAAATGTCTTCACAAACGCAATAAAAGAATAACAAGAGAACGATGCTAAAATATATGGACGCGAAGATCAAAACGAAATAGTACGGGTATGCAATCTGTCACAATACGATATCGGTATGCAATCCCCACGACTAACGCGAACCCAGAATCGACACAAAATGCGCAATTTTTGAAGTTGTTACGCGCCGTTAGGCGGCTTAATCATATGGTAGAGGACGCCGTAACCGAACAGCGAATACGTGAACCACTCTACGATGGCGAGGAGTCCACTAATCCCCTCGCACATCACTAAACCCCAATGGAAGTCGAAGGGAAGAAAGGATTTACATATTTATCCTGGGGAAAGGAAAGCCGATAAGACGGCTTAATCATATGGCGAACGCGAACCACGGACTCTCGTCCGGTTACGGTCCAGGTCGGGTATAGGATTAGTTAGCCAGTTATTTGTTTTCAGAAGCATGGACTTGATGGTGGAGGAAGCCGTAACCGACCAGCGGTTACATGAACCACCCTACGGCGGCGAAGAGTTCAGCAATCCTCTCGCACATGATCATCCCCGCATGGGATTCGAACCTGCGAACCCACAAAGGGTAATCAGAGATGCTGTGGCGAGCGTACTCCTAACGCTTAGCACGATGCGCTACACCGCTGAGAGTAATTCGCGATGCTGTAGCATGCGTGTTCCTAACGCTTAGCACGATGATCCACATCCGAGCCTATGTGCGAGTGGACGTAGCTGGTATCTTCATCTTTATCATGCAAATAGTGGAATAATTACGGATTTCATGTGATTTTCGACATACACACACCGGTATTTACCAACCAGGATGATTATCATACTTAGAGACGATGGGCGATACGCTGTTCATGATATATTTTCGTTTGCTTGAATTGTTACATCGGAATCACGGCTTATTGTGCATAACCACTCTGGAAAATCATCAAAATAAACGTATTCACCTAATATATCTCTTCCAGTGGTTTTCCCTCTCCATTGATGTAGACTCAACTTACACCCTTACCATCTTGCACCCACATCATATAGGAAAATCATTTATTTGAGACCAAAAATGAATAAAACAGCAAACTACTGCAAAGTAACAAATTCTAAGACAACAATCCTGCAGTCACAAATCTCGAAAATCACACAAAAACATTTAAAATTGAGATAACACTTCAAGTTCACACAGATTTACTCCTGAAGGACGAATTGAAATGAAAATAAAGAATAACATGAACTTGAGAAATAATTTCTCATCTGATGTACAAAACATAGCTACAGTAACTGTTCAAATTAGTTTTTGACGAAATCTTGATGAAATAACTTCAAAAAATTGTCTCGTGAGAATTGATAGCGCTCAGGCAATTTCAGTCATTCATCCACAAAAATCAACTTTGCATAACTCAGTTCAAAAACAGCATTGAATGTATTTTTCAGAATGAATTTAACAACAAAGGCACTATTGGCATTTCGGCACAATAAAAAGGCAAATATTTTGAATCATATAAAAATAACAAAAAGGTAGCTCAAAGGCAAGTTAATAAAATGCTCACTGTTTTACAGTACTATAAAAGCTTCATAAAAAGAGCTCGTTGTTACTTGTTATGTATTAGTAAAAATGTCAAATAAAATTGATATGTACCGTACCAAGTAATCATCCCTTCAGCTTCTTTGAAAATTGATAAAAATGTATGTTTGGCTAGTAATAAAATATGCTTTCCTGAAGTAAAAGTAAACGTAACATAACAAAACTGGCATGGATAAATTTCATGAAAATCAAAGTACTTGAAAAACCATTTGTACAGTGGGTATCACAAAATTTTAAATTGGTTTTAAGATTCTTCAATAAACTGATTTTCACTTTTTAGACTTCCAAGATAATCTTTTACATTCGTGAATCCATGATGTTTGGCAAGACCGATAAGAATTCCAGTTGCACATTTTCCATTACGGTTCCTGCAAATACTGCAGTTGCAGAACCCCCTGCAAACAGGGCATGACCAATCAGGATCAAGAAGTGCTTCCTGCACAGATTCCCCATATCGATTTTTCAGACATGGGCCGCAGAATTGGCCCTCACACCAACACATTCTTTGTTTCGACAGCAAGATTTTGTATCCATAGTTTTTTGTCGACATTGATGACATGATGTACCATTAATTGCGTTATAATCTTTTCCTACAGAATATTGCGCAATATTATCTAACATTGCATCTGTGACATCTTCAACAGGAATTATAATATGCTCCTGTGTATTAACCGATCGACGAGTATAAGATCTTTTCCTTGGTTGATACGATTCTTCATCATCGCTGCCTGAAGTTTGTCGTTTTGGGCCAAAACGAACAAGCAACTTTGGTTTCCAATTTGAAGCTTCTTCTTCTTCTCCACATTTATAGTTTGGATCACCAAGTTTAGAACGACGTCTCGTAACAGGAGGAAGCCTGTGAGTGGTGTAATATTGCTTAGGACAAGTTGGTCTTGAGGTGCGATGCTGTCTTTTCAGAGACAAAGGAGTTTTAGCTATCATTTGCTTAAATACAGGTTCATTATGAATATCTGTCAATAAATTTTTCAGGATGCCCCTTCTTTCATGCATAGCTTCTTCTCTCTTTTTTTGTTTATTTCTTCATCTTCAGAATCGGATAAGATATCAGAATCCGAATCAGTCAAGTCATCAGTACTTCCATATCCAGATGTTTTTGAATTACTGTCTTGGTTTATATTTTCTATTTCAACAGATTTTGAGAAGCACAGTTGATCTTCATCAGAAGACTTAGTAACTTCGGTGTCTGAAAAACCTAGGAAATCATCTTCTTCACCAGTTTCATCAAAAATGCTTTTTAAGCGAGCATTGAGGTCAAGCTCAGCAAGTTCCATGCTTGTTTTAATTATGTTATGCAGAAATTATGCTGGAAATAGTTTTGCAAATTTTATTCTTTGTACAACTCAATACAGGTACTGCAATATGAACTTTTTCTTGTAGAATAAATAAAGTGGACCATACATGGTCATTACCACAGTAGGGCACAATTCTTCGATTTCAAGATGTTCCTACATTTGGTTCAATAAAACAAAACACTCTATTTGTCTCTGAAACAAGGGAGTCTGGCACGTCACACCATGCTTGTCTCAATAAAATAAAAACTACAGGCGAAAGCCCCATAATTTATGGCATAAACAGATAAGTTGATTCACATAAAAAAATATAAAATTTAATAAATCGTTTTTGCAAAGTCAGAAGTGAAAGTACTAAAAATACTGTGCCAATGTGCTCATTGAAAAGTCCGTTTCTCGGCTGGCTAATGAAATGAGTGAAAACGTACCACATCTTCCTGGCAAAACCTTCCATCTTATATACATTCTGTACGTTTTAAACCTTATCTAAGGTTTTGTTCGCTTTCCTGATTTCCTAATCAGTTTTTATTTATTTATTTTTACCATTCATTTTATTGTTTTGCTGATTATGGAGTCGAAATAAACTTATACTTATTATTTTATTTTTATTTTTTTAAATGGATCCACAATGTGGATTATTCAATATGTAAATAATAAATAAATTAAATATAAATAAAGATATATTGTGTACCGCAAGTGAACAAACATATATATCAGAAATATCAAGATAATTCCATCAGATATAATATTCCATATAATCCAGGGAGTTCCAATAATTCATTTGTTGATTTTGTAATACAAATTACATAGTTTATTTTTAATTATTTAGCATGAAAAAACATAATTTTATAATTATTCACAAGTTATTACAAATCATGGCAAGTTCTTTTATATAACAAAATTCCTTTCTCACTTTTTCTATATTTCTTCTCATTACTGCAGTACTGCATTAAAAGTGAGTTCCTAATTTTCATAATAACATTATTCATGCTTGGGTTAGGATTTTGAAATATTACAGCGTTACGCTCCAACCAAATTTTATATCTTGCTGTACAAAATAACAATATAATAGCATTACGTTGTATAATGGATAAATTTGTATAACAGTGGTCATTTAAGTCCAATAAAATGCAAGTTTTATAATTATTTTTTATCACACAGTTACTCATTTTTAATGCCACAGAGAAGATATAATCATAGACATTCTGAGTAAAAACACAATTCCAAAACAGATGAGACACAAATTCAGAATCTTGTTTACATAACACACAAATATCATCCCCAGAAATATGTTTTATTCTTGGCTTAACTTTGATTGATAAAATGTCCCACATTAATTTATAATTGAAAGTCCTTACATTATTGGCCAAAATTTTAGAATGTATATTTGAACAAGCCCCTATTAAATTACCATCTCTCAAAAAAACAATTCCATCTCCACCCTTCGAATTATTTACAATTTTATTATATAAATGTCTATGCTTTCCTTGAATTAAATTATACTTATTATAATGTGACCCACCTATGTCTATGCTTTCCTTGAATTAAATTATACTTATTATAATGTGACCTACCTATGACTATGAGTCAACGATCGATCGCTCAACTCCGCTACTGCTGAAGGCCCACTAGGCAAAATAGCAATGCGGCCGATATCGTGAATGCGAACCGCGTTAAAAATTTCCCGCCAATGCTTGCACGCAAGACGGTGATTCCCCAGACTGGCGCCAAAATTAATCACATGTGTAAACAGAGCACGGGCATTTAATAATTCATGATCTAGCTATAGGCCGCGAGCCGAGGCCATTTATCTTTCAGTTTCGTAGCGCACATCAGGTAACTACCTGAAAATGATTTTAAAATGTTCCTTAGAAATTTAGTAACAAATATTGCCTTGTTCCCACTTCCAAAAGTTGCACGTTTCACAGAAAAGACGCTTTTACTACAATAAATATGTGTTACCATCTGTCCTATTTTCTCTGCTTTTCCGGTATCATGGGCCAATGAACGCAGACTTCTGCACGACGTAACAGTCAAGTTAGTCAGCTGTAGGTGGATCCCCAGTGGTCGGATGAATATCAGATGTACTACAACTGCTCGCTTTTTGCGTTGAGTAGCCTTTCCATAGTTTTTTCAGTTACCGGTAATATTAGTTCAGTTATTCTAAGGAGGTGTTGAAAAGTATAAGGTAAGATATTAAACACTTGTATATCCTTACCATAAATAGCAATATTAGTTGAGCACTAGCTCATAAGACGTTGTTAAATAGGTACGGAGCGGTAACTCCAAGTAAGGCTAGACCTAGAATAATATGTCACAAACAACGATATTTTCTGGCTTGCATGAAATGTTTATGATTAATTTAATGACTCTTCTTGACTATTCAGCAGACTTATACTACTATATAGGCCACAGCATATTTGGAAATAGAAATGAATGGCTGTTTCTGTAATGCACGGTTGTGTGAAGAGAAGAAATTATTCAATTTTACTAATGTCGGTTGTCTAAATCTAAATTCATAGAGTCGACAAGAACCTGGAAGCAATGATAAGTTATGCCGGGTGGAAAGAAAGTAGCATTGGAAAACGATTGAGAGGTGAGAATCAAGTTGTAGACAAACAGTTGATGTTTTAAAAATATAGTCTATAGTCCATACTCATACTGTCATAGGCATTTCAGACTGTGATATATCAAAATTTAGTGTAGATATAGTCTAGTAATGGTTATGCAAACACTGCTGGACTGTAGTACATTGCAATGAGCATATATACACTTCATTGAGTACATCAGATAAAATGCATTATGTATTCAAGGTATTAGTTAGTATTTAGTGGTATTTTTACACTCATGCTGTTCCAAATATGATTTTCTTCCTCATTTTAGATACTGTACTACAAAAGAAAACGGCAATGTTCCACCAATTCCGACCTAACGCAGGCTCTGATTCCTGCTGCTATCAGTGCTATAAAATGGATTAAACAAGAAGTCTTGAAGCTTAAAGGTATATGAGAATCATAATAGTTTGCAAACAGCTTAGATGGGCTATTCATATTGAAATACTTTAGCACTTTTCTGCAATTGGAACTGCCCATCAAATTCATGTTGGAGACTTCATTGAGATTTTCAATTCATTTTTTCCTCGACTATGAAGATCTTTTGAGGTTAACGAGGCATTAATAAATAAAGCTGAGGAATTTGAAGAGGATATGAAGAATGTAAATGATACCAGGGCACGTCTATTTAACACTGTCAAACATAAGGATTATACTCTCCACCCAACAATGATTCACTGAAGAAGCATGTGGCCCTCAAATCAGTTCTGAGTTGGCAAACTGCAAGTGTAAGAAAAATAGTCAAAAATTTATGAAAGTGTGCCAAAATCAACTTAAATTGCACAGATTTTTGTTTTTGTATTGACTGCAAAAATCACAGTACACTATAGAGGAAAAGTCGATTTTTGAGATAGTGGATTTCGAAAACAATTCAGAAGAAAGTGAATTAGATATTACAGTTGATTTAATAAGTATCATTTATTTGTTGTTTTTTTCGGACATTTGTTAGTGTCGTAGTCCTGTTTCTAGAAATATCATTGCCTTTGTTCAAATACATAACCACATAACTAAAAAGATTAATTGTAATATTTCTGTTCACTATGTTATGTACATATTGTACATTCATTTAATTTTCTTGACTTTTGCTGTAAATTTCTAAGTGAGAAATAACTGATTTATTTGTGTTTTCGTGCTCACGATGTTAATTAGTGACTTCATTGCTTAAAAATAAATACGTTTGATAGCTTCTATAAAATGGATGTAGCTTTTTATGCTGTTCTTTGTTGTAAACTGCTTGTGGTTATTACATAAAATTTATTCGCAAATGTGAATCAGCGTTGTTGGTGTCGCTGCTTTCGAGGTCACTCCCAACTCCTGTCACACAATTAAAGTATTTTTGTTGTTGGTTACATGTATGCCATATTTTTCGTAATCTACCTAATAAATTATGATTGACTGAGGAAGTCCGATTTTGGTCAGGCAAAACATTACAGGAATACATTTGTGTTAGTGTGCTGTAGGGCTCTCGAATTGCATAGTTCTATGTATGTGTTGTAAACTTATGGTTATTGAATTTCCGGGAACCTCTTATATTCAATTTCGCACCAGGATTGTGGAACAAGCTGTAATGCGTTCATTATGTTCGTTTTCACACGAAACTGAAGAATTTATTTAGTTACCAGATGTGCGCTACGAAACTCATTTTCTGGGCGTTTTCATGGCTTCGTCTCACGGCCCATATCCGTGGTAAGGATCTACAAGTGTTTAATAACTTACTTATACATTTTTCAACAACGTCTTAGCATAACTTAACTAATAATAACTAAACAGGGCTATGGAAAGCCTGCCCAACTCAGCGCAAGGTCGAGCAGTAATAACTAATATTCATCCGCTCGCTAACAGCTGGTTTAATTCAATTGTTACGTCATGCAGAAGTCATTGTTCCATGCGAAATGTAGAGAATATAGACAGATCGTAGCACATATTTCTTGTAGTAAAAGCGTCTTTTCCGTAAAACGTGCAACTTTTGGAAGTGGGAACAAGGCAATATTTGTTATTAAATTTTTAAGGAACATTTTAAAATCATTTTCAGGTAGTTACCTGATGTGCGCTACGAAACTCACTTTCTAGGCGTTTTTCAGGGCCTCGGCTCGCGGCCTACTAGTGAATTTGTAAGCGTCGATGAATTGGAAAAAATAATGGGTCTCGTCTCGGTGATCGTATAAAACAGGGGTGTCAAGCTCGTGGATTTTCGAGGGCCGCATTGCATTTTGGAAATTGTGCAAAGGACCGCAAAAAGTTTTTGATAATGTATAGGCTACTTTAAGCATAATTTTAGATGGGTGTAGTTTGTGACACATATTGTGAATTTGTGATGCAATTGAACTGCCGAATGAAGTTTTGTCATTTGCTTAAATTCACATATTAATTTCTTCATTTCACTATTATTGCAATTTACTGTATTTAATACCAAAAATCCTAAATTTTTATGTACAACTATCCAAAACATTTTTAAACAAAGTTTTCATAAGAGAAAAATAATACATACACTAAAAACGACTTAATCTAAATATATAGGCTAGACTTGAAATTTACAAAAATACTACAGAATAAATTCAATTTTTTCCTTACATGTGTCCTGAATTTTGGCATCTTTTTTGTGCGTCCAAGTTACTAATATCAGGCTGAAATGATTTTACAGTAACAACTCTAATTAACGAAGTCGCATGATCATCGGATAATCTGGATCGTTGAGAATGTTCGATTAATTTCAGTGATGCAAAAATATCACGTTTATCATTTCATTTATTGATCAGTAAACAAAAAAATGACTGTCTTTTCGGACCAGACATTTCCCGCCACATTTCCTACCCTTAGCCTACGTGGCATAGGACCGCTTGAGTTATGATTGATATTGATTTTAGTAAATAGGTAGTTGTATAAATATAATAATAATATAAAC